CACACATCGACTTTTTATTGCTGAACAAATGGGAGTCGTTCACATTTTGATGCCAAATACAAAACAATTACAAAAGGTGACATTYCTTGACATAAGTCACAAAGTTTTAACATCAGATAGGAAAGGCGACGAGAGAGGGTTTCTTAGTCTTGCTTTTCATCCGGATTACAGGAAAAATGGTCGCYTTTTTGTTTACTACTCGACTCGATTGAACAAAACTGCTGATAAAGATAACGACCATAAAACCGTGTTAAGTGAATTTACCGTCTCAACCCTCAACCCGAACAGAGCTGATCATGACAGTGAGAAAATCATTCTGGAAATACCTCAACCAAGATCTAATCATAATGGCGGACAGATTCTGTTTGGATATGATGGCATGTTGTATTTGACATTAGGTGATGGTGGATCTGCTGGCGATCCATTTGGCCAGTTTGGTAATGGCTTAAATTTGTAAGTATTCAAAACAAATACAGTTGAAATACAAGTTGAGTCTCTTAGACCCCAACTCGGGATACCCTACTGTCGTGCAAACATGAAGGGCTATAAACTCTTTTGTTTTATAAAACGAAAACAAATGATAGCCCTATTAACCCTGCTCCTTGCGCCGATGTCTTTCCACTTGTCAAATGATTGACGTCCCACTTGACTCTCCGTGCGCAATGCATGAAGGGAATTAAGGAGGAAAGAAGCGAGCCTCAAAATGCGTGAGATGAAGACGAGTAACCTCGGTAGTGCATTTTTTAGTGCTATATCATCCCTGTGATACCAATTCTTTTTTTTTTCTTCGTGTAGCCTCAATTCTTTTTTTTCTTCTTCGTGTAGTCCGCAGAAAATTACCTCCGCATTTGTTTTAGTTGAGAAGCCAGTGCAACTTTTGAATGGATTGTACAATTCAACCTGTGATTTTTTTTCCCGCTCCTTTGAAATCCCCGCCATTGTTCGGGTTGACTGTTGACCAAATATGGTGACGAGTTTATCGCTTTTCGCTCTTTTTAAAAATAAAATGGAGTAAATCAATGTAGCTTGTAAAAGTTGTATCTCGATCGGTGTGGACGACTTGATGTGACATGTTTCTGTAATTCAATCTGTGCCCAAGACGTACCAACAAGTCAGAACAAGTATTTAAAGTGTGTCAGTGACCTCTTATGATCACTTCTCTCAGAGCTGATTCAGAATTACATAAGTCATTATGTCGGACTATGCGTCGATACTTCGCGTTGTGTTGGTGTTGATGATCGTAGTGGATGAAACAAAAAGCCATCCACAATGTCTCGATTACAAGCCGCCGTTTCAAGCCAAATCAGGGCTGAAATTTTGCTCCCAGTACACATCGTTAGGCTGTTGTACTTCAAAGAAAGATGTCGAGATTGCTGTATCCTTCACACAACTAAAACTTAGATTCAGTCTTCACTCTCGCCCCCATTGTGAGAAGATGTTGAAGGAAATTCTTTGTCTTGAATGTGATCCTTATGCAGCTCACATCTTTGAAGCAGAAGGCAACAGCAACTTTNTCTATTTTATAGGAACACTCTCCTTGGTTCAATCCTACGTATCGATGTCAATACGAAGAGTACAAACCCACCTTACAAAATACCACGCGACAATCCCTTCGTATACCATCATAGCGCAAGACCCGAAATTTACGCGTATGGCGTGCGTAACATGTGGCGTTGCTCGTTTGATCGAGGAGACAAAGACGGACGTGGGAAAGGACGGTTCTTTTGTGGTGATGTCGGACAGAATAAATTCGAAGAGATCGATTTAATAGAGAAAGGCGGCAACTATGGATGGAGGGCTTATGAAGCCAATGATTGCTTTGATAGCAAGCAATGTTATTCACCAAAATTGAGTAAGTATTTGCCAACTAAGTCGAGGAATTTTTCAATATTGTGTTACTTATTGCGTTTTGCATCATGCGTGACACAGGTAACGCAATCTTCCCTATTTTTGCGTACAATCACTCGGTTGGCAAGTCTGTTGTTGGAGGTTATGTATACCGTGGATGCCAGAACCCTAATCTATATGGTTACTACATATTTGGTGATACATGGAGCAGGTTTGTGTGGCGATATCCATTTCCCTTCCTTTCTTCCTTTCTTTTCTGTTTCCTTTCAACTCATCTCACTAGCTTCTTCTTCGTTTGATCCCGTCCGCCTTCATTTTGTTGTTACTTAGTTGTTCTCACCTTCTGTTTCATCGTGTCCTTGCTTTCATTATCTAGTTTTTTTCTATCATTAATCCACCTTTCTTTCTAAATCATTGCTTCATAACTGTGTTATTGGCATTTTTTGTTTCTGATAGTCGTTTCTTCACACTGATCCAAAACAAAACTACAAGAAGATGGGATCACCGCGAAATGTGCTTTGGAGACAAATCATACTGTACAGATACACTGAAGGGAGATTTTGAGCAGTTTGTCCTGTCATTCGGTGAAGACGAAGCCGGTATAGCATTTGTGAATACTATATATTATACCATCTCTTGTCACATAACCCTTACAATAATTGATACAGAAATCATGGTGTTATAAGCTCATAAAGTCGTAATTCAATAACCCTTTTCATGCCATTGAAGTTAACTGTGAAGAGCTCTATCCTCGTTCCCATTTAGCTCTCCTATATCCCTGTCCCCTGTGTAAGATTGGGACCATAAATTGACATGAAACGGCAAACTCAAGATTGGCCCATATCCCAACCCAACCCATTCCTCTAGAGCTGACACCCAGGCTACCAATGTACACTACAAGATAACTAACAAGGCAAAAATAACTATTCTTCCAGGAGAGATTTATCTACTAGCCGTACCTTCGCCAAAGGCAAAGACTCCTGTTGGTTCTGTTTATCGTTTAGTTGATCCAGCCAGGTAATGTAGAAACATAGCTATATAAGTTCCTAATAGCTATTGATACCATCTAATCATGCAGGGACTACATATTCTTATAAATATTCTTGTTATGATTACTTTAGTGTCTTTTATAACATTTACTTTTTAATTAATTGATTTATTCATTCATTCATAATTTATAGATTTCCAGATCGCTATCTATCTGTATACCATGCCTTATAAAAGATTTCGCAATTGAAACTAGAGATTTCGTGCTCTCTTCTGCAAAATAACTGATAATGCCATAATTTATRATAAATAATKATTAATGCTACTTCCTTCTAGGCGTGGKGATCCTGAAGATTGCAAATTCGTTCCCAGGTCACTCAACACAACTGAGCCGTTGCTTACCACTCCCCCTTCACGAAATRACATTTCGCATGGCAGCGTMTCTCCGAGYAAAGCGTCGTTTCTGCACAAGGCAAACTTACTACTGATGCTTGCTTTGTTCCTAATTGCTGTCAGACAAACTAACGAAGATTATGGCTAACACCAACTTTTATTATTTTTTCACAATGGCGTTAGTGTAAATCATAGTGAGGTTAGCCAGACTATTTATTACTATGACAACCATGGACCATCATTCCTTCCAGGAGAGGGAATCCCAGTGACTGCAAAATCAAGCCCAAACCACCTCTCCCACTTACAACGCAACCTCCTAGTACCAAGCCCACCCGGCCATGCACAGCTAAAGATACGTTGACAGATATTTATAAAGATTATGCGTACGGTACCAAAAGGTGTCAGATGTATAAGCAACGAGATCCCAAGTGCCTTCGTTCGTGGTTTTACAAGAAGCATTGTAAAAAGACTTGTGGATTCTGTTAGCTCAGGCCTCGAAATATCTCGTCCATAGCACCGATATATGCATATGTAATCATGTCATAGCCAAACAGGCATATAGATAGGCAGCAATCAAGATATTATATAATCATTATGTAGAAGCAATAAAGGTAAAAACACTGTAACTCAATGAAATGTATTTGACACCAAATCATTGTTGTATCATCAGGAGGGGCGATCCAAGCAAGTGCGCTTTGAAACCAGGTAAACCGGTCAAACCTCTTAACCTAAAACGACCGAAGCGCAAAAGATGTCGCGATACGATGTCAGATTTCTACCCAGCTTCTTCGAAACTGAACTGTTGGAGATTCAGATGGCTTGGTCACTGTCGTTATCGTGGGATCTCTAAAATGTGCAGGAAAACATGTGGAAATTGCAGCTAAAGTTTTATAGAATAGGAAAACTGACACTTTTCTTCATAGAAGGGGCATGAAAAATCCTCTGCTCGCTTGGTAGAATTTTTAGGTGTGTCATTCAAAATAACATCAACTTAAAAAGCGTATGCTCAGAAAATGCTATGCCAAAAAAGGCAACTACCACTACAACAAAAAAAAAAATAAATGAAAATTAAGAAAATAAATTCTTTGAAAATGTGTGTGCTGCTGCAGTTTTGTGGGCTTTTTGGGCTTCCTGTGTTACCAGTCTTCCCGCGCTCTAAAATGGCTGACGGAAGTGACCGATTTGTGAAGGGGATTTTGTTTGACTTTGATAATACTCTCGTTACAACAACAAAGTCGGATATCAAGGCATTAGAAAAGGTCAAGGAAAGACTTTCCAACGATTTTAASCAAGAAAACGTCGAAGCAATYGCTAATAAATATCTTGAACTATTAGCAATCGGCTCTATCGACCCTGAAGGAAAGGTGGACCCCCATTTATGGAGAACATTACTTTGGAAAAAAGCGATAGACTTTGTCTCTAAAAATGATGAAAATCCCAAGGCAGAAAGCATTTATAATCTCTGGAGGTTTGCGCGTTTAGAAGGAATCAAGCTCGAGAAAGAAGTAGCAGATTTGCTAAAGAATTTGAGAGAAAAATACAAACTTTCCTTAGTAACAAACAGTGACCCTATAATTCAAAGAGAGAAACTGCAAAGCTGTGGAATAATTGAATACTTTGATGMTATYATTATTAGTGGTGARGAACCATAYCCAAAACCACACCCATCAATATTCATCAAGGCATGCGCCAATATTGGAGTCCCCCCAGAACAATGTATCATGATAGGGGACAATMTAAGACATGATATTCAGGGGGGTGTAAATGCAGGATTATTTGCAACTGTTTGGGTCAAAAAGGAGAGTCAACAAGAAATGACTATAAGTGATCCTCGACCRGATTACACCATTGATAGTGTTATTGAACTGCCTAACATATTAGCAACAATTTCATGATGGGCACATAAAAGTTGTCATTATCTGGGCTTGTGTTGTTATTAAAAATAAACTTTCAAAAATTGCAAATTTGGTGTAAACACGAATTCAAGCTACATTGATTAATGGATGGTATGATATTATAATTATAACATTATTATTTTTTCTTTTTGTTTAGAAAAAAATTGACCTTGCCTTCCCCTCCCTAAGCCGTTCAAATAGCCGCCTGAAAGCGAGGTTCGTTGCGCAGGCGCATTATCGTCTTCTAAATTTCGCCATCTTTGTTTTTGTGTTGTGTCGAAGTATTTTTTGCTTATTGTCGGCATCGTTCAATGGCTACAAAATAGCCTGGACTGCTCACAGATGTCATTTAGTTAGTACAGACTGTAACTGCATCACATGCAATGTCAAGGTGAGTTATTTGTATTTTTTTTCGCCGGTAAAATGTCAAAGAAGTTTTCGCGCTTTTTTACATTCGCATGTGTGGYTGAGCCATATTTGAGCGATATCGTTTTGTAGATTGGTAGATTTAATATTTCTATTTATTGTTAGCTCAACAAGTACCTCCAATCAGCCTCAGAAGACTTATGGTGTAACATCGGCTATAAGTCATGCTCCGCCGAAAGCGAGAGTAAGCACATCGATTCTTGTTGGTTTTGCACGTGTCCAGCTTTCTCGTTTGATATATTGAATCAGAAGGCAACTGAAACTCTGATTTGTTTTGTCTTTTATTAGGATTTAGAGCTTACTAAGAAGCTAGAGGAGTCTCTTCAGCCTTATGGAGTGTTTGAGTCAGAGGAAGAGCTACAACACCGGTATGGAAACTAGATTTAAGCTTATTATAAGTTTTCGTGATCRTATTATGCTCTTATTCGGGACGAGCCACGTCGACACCAAAAGTAGCCTCCATATTTTTATTTTTATTTATTACCCCAAATAAGTAAAAGAATAATATATTTTTGACTTTTTGTGATTTTTTTGTTGATTCCTTTAAACATTAAAGTGCAGCAAGTTAATTGATATTCACTTATTGTTCAATTGTACGTTATTAATTGTTTTGATTTAATTAGTACATATTATATAAATATTTCACAGAATTTCTTATATTTAATTTTGGTGTTGGAAAATCATTGATTGTTTTGACTGTGATTATAAGATGTTGCTTGTTATATTTAGCATGACAGTTCTTGGCAAGCTAAATGAGATTGTGAAGCAATGGATTGTGGATGTCAGTCTGCAAAAGGTAATCAAGATCTATTGCAGATATTAAAAAAAATTTATTTCTACATTGAAAATATGATGTTAAGAATTGGCAGTTGTACTSTACACARAACCATRTTAACTGCAGGATCTCATACAAAGAATCTTACATATCAGTRACTTGATATTTTTTCTAGAGCATGCCTGAAAATGTTGCTCACTCTGTTGGTGGGAAGATTTTCACATTTGGATCATTTCGTCTTGGGGTMCATACAAAAGGTACAAAAGYAATGGCGAAAACTATGTTCATGCACATGATCGAGGAACTTTAGCAGTTACTAAACTGTAACAACCATTTTTTGTAGGGGCTGATATTGATACCCTTCTTGTTGCGCCTCGTCACATTGAAAGATCAGATTTTTTCTCATCATTCTATGATCTGTTAAAAAACCATGAAGATGTAAAGGAACTTAGGGTAGGATATTTTTTCTTTCAGTATTGTATTGTGCTGTGATCTTAATTGCACTGATTGTTTTATTGTAGGCTGTTGAAAATGCTTTTGTTCCAGTTATAAAGCTTATATTTTGTAATATTGAGGTGAGCTTTGTCATATTSAGGTTAGATTATAAAACTAAAAATAAAGAAACAACCAACACCAAAAAATGAAAAATAAAATAATAATAATAAACACTAATAGAATCAAATAAAAGAAAAGCTTAGCGCACTGACATAGAATGACCAAAATATTCTTTAAAATGTACAGTTTAGCAGTGATCATTATAAAAGATATATCTTTTTTTTTGTTAGTTTGATCTGCTATTTGCTCGTTTGGCTTTACCAGAAGTTCCAGATAGTCTGGATTTGCTGGATGAAAACCTGTTGAAGAATCTAGATCCCAAATGTGTGAGAAGTCTGAATGGTAAACACTTGAGCTTCAGCTATTATGTTATTAGAAAAGTTATCAAATCCTTGTTTTTAATCAACTCTTCTTCACATCAGGCTGCAGAGTGACAGATGAGATCTTGAGGCAAGTTCCTAATATCCAAAACTTCCGGCTTACGTTACGCGCTGTCAAACTTTGGGCAAAAAGTAAGAATCTTATTTTTTGGTTCTGTAAACTTATCTAATCTTATTATTAATTTATATATACTTGATATTGTTGTTCTAGAGCGTGGTATATATTCCAATGTGTTAGGTTTTCTTGGCGGTGTTTCGTGGGCTATGCTTGTTGCAAGGACATGTCAACTTTATCCAAATGCTGTTGCATCTACTTTACTTTTAAAATTTTTCCTTGTGTTTTCAAGATGGTAAGGAAAAGATGTATTAGTAGTAAATAAACTGCAATGTTTATAATATCTTGAATATTTTTCAAGGGAGTGGCCAAACCCTGTTCTGCTGAACCAAATTCCTCAGGCATCTGAGAACAAGCTTGGATTTCAAATATGGGATCCTAGGGTAAGAATGGAAATTAGCATTCTTCTATCTCTTTTTATTTCATTTTATTCATTCTTGAGTGAAAGGTCTGTGGATTAAACTTTGTCCATTCCAACTGAAGCAATATGTTTTTTGATGAAAATCCTGACAATTTCCCATTTGTAATAGACTCAGTGAACAAGAACAAATCCTTGAAGGTGTGAGGAATACTGAGCATAGATATTTTCTTTTATGCTTAGAGTTCCTGGATGCCTTAGCTCAATGCTTTGTTTTCTTTGGTTCATGTATTTCTTTTTTTTACTCTTGTTTTTTKATTCATGTGAACTTTTGTTARTTTAGTCATCCATTCATTTGCACATTCTTTCATKTTTKT